GCCGAAATAATCGAGCCCAAAAAGGCGAAAGAATACAGCCAAACAAGGATTATTCCAAATAAGAGGATGTTTTCTAAGCTGGCCTGTTACAGAGTGTAGAATAGGGTTAAGTATCATTTCAACCTTTAATATAACCTAATACCAAAATATTTCCTCTTTTCTATGATAAAGTCTATTCTGTTACCAGATGGAGATGACATTTAATATGTGGTTTGAATAGTTGTAGAAAAGACAAGGTGAGGAAGATTCATTGCAGTTATTCATGCGTATCTGATTAAAAATCGGTCAAAATATTCGTGATTACTATTTTGGATGTATGTTCGTCCCTTCTAAGAGCTTTGGCAACCTTAGGTCACATAATGTGATGGAGGACTGATAATGAAATTTTCCACAAAATGAGATGAGTAGGTGTCACACATATTCTTGCTCCCAAAAAAGGTTTTTTCATCCAGGCAGAAGTGGACTGCCATTTCAATTTCGTCTTGGTCTCATCAGCATCTCCGGCCGGAATCGAACTAAGGCTCTTAGTCAAGACTTACCGCTAGTCTCAAAATCCCACAAAACTCGAATATAAGCAACAGTGTCGACCGTACTGGCCATTAGATGCAAGTCTAAATGGCAATCATACTATATAACTTTGATACAAAAGAGATCTAAATGGCTTTGAAATTCGCCTCTACCTTGCGACCGACTGTCACTCGTGGAAATCTGGCGTCATGGTAGTACGTAGAAAAGATAAGCTGCTTTACACTGGTTCGAGTGTTGCTGGGGCTGGGGAAGAAGCTTAGGCGAGGTGGAAACCGCAGTCCAGTCTACACTGGATGAGAATAGGTTTTGGACAGAAAGGCTAAGTGGCATTTAGTGGAAATAGTCGGCCTGATTATCCCATTCTAGAATAATTATCTATCGGTCTTTTACCTCCTTATGTGGTGTAGAGTGACTGAATCTCTTATTCAGGATCAACTGGTTTTCTTGAAATCCTACTAAATACAAATATAGGTGTCGAGTAATTCGAGTGGCATTATAAGTAGTTATTGATACTATGTATAAATCTTGAGCACGCCAGATTGCATAAGGTGATCAAGTACAGATATGAAAAAAATTGGGTTTCGATGAATCTCCTGAGATAACATTGTTGGGGAGACTTTAATTTCGTATGAAAGTGAATGAACAAAAGATTAGTAGGTCGATCTAATCCCGTTGTACTGCAGTCGTTTGACTTTTATACGACGTTCAGGATGACACAGTACACGAGACTTACGCCCTCGTTTCGGGTGGAAACGGGCTGAGCTTTCGTCCATCATTTGATAAAAATCCTCGGAGCTGGAGCTTATTCTTGTAAAAGTCTTACATTCATGACCTAGAATCGCATAGCTAAGCCGCATATTTACCCATACAACTTGCCATTGAAGGTGAAATGTGTATCATGCATTGCCAAATTGATTAATATAATCATTGTCTTTTTTTCGTTATCTCCTGAATATTCCATTTCCTTAGTAACTGTCACAAATTTGGATTCAGTTCGCATGAGGAAATGCATATCCAATTTTGGTCGCCCTCTCGTTTCCTGATTTTATCTTCATAATATCTTAGTTGATATATGTTTTTTATGATCCCTATATTTCTTTCTCTGTGTTACCCATTACTATAGACAATTCGAGTTAATCTACGTCTATTAATATTAAGCTTTTGATGATCAAACTCAATATTCCTATCCTTTATCTGTAGTTGTGATGAGACTGAAAGTTGAGGATTATTCCCGCATGTGATTTATTTCTGGATTTTGCCCTCCCGAGTGTCCCGTTGGAGCGCATAATCTCAGCATCTAGGAAGGGTAGTCGCTCATCCTTCTCCACCTCCACTGTGAATTCGATTCTTCTATCAACTTGGTTCAGAATAAATCCACATTTTTCTCATCACGTCAGCAAATTGCAAACTAGTCATCCAGTTATCGCATGGACACTCTTGCTTCCAGGTTATACTCTTTCATTTCAAGATCTCCAGCAGGACGGAAACCGCCTTCTCGCTTGAGACGTTTGTGTACATGGATTGTACGTCAAAACTTACTAACACTTCCGTCCCTGCTAGTCCAATATTTGGAATCTTTTGAGAAAATTCCTTCAGGTTTTTCACGGTCTTTGAGAGTCTCTCGCTTACCTTTCTCGTATTAAGCATATAAATTTAGCTAGTTTATGTATAGCTTCGTACGTGTTTTTGACTATTGGCCTTAGTGCTTTTCCATATTTGTATATCTTTGGTAGTCTATAGGCTTTCAATATTCTTGGGTCCTTTATAATTAAAGAATCCATCATCCACTTGTCAATTTCTCTCATATCATACATTTGCTTCGACACATTCTTTGGTATATAGTTGATCTTCATGGTTGATTTCTTTAATAATATTTTATGTGTTTCCTTCACCTAGAATACTTTTCGTTTTCCCAGTTTATTGTTTGCTGTTCATTGCTATCATCTTTATCCCCATATCCGCCTGAATGACATTTGTCACTTTCCTTGTCATTTTCTGTGTTTCTTCGTTAATCCGCTCCTTTTGATTGGCTCTTGATTCCTGGGACTAGTTCCATTTCCATCTCCCATCCGACACTTTCACAACCTCTACAAGAAGATCTTATAAAATATCTTGGATCCCATAAATCTTTACCTTTCTGTATAGGTTGGAAGTTTCTTCCTACACAGACGCCTCCATATGGGCACAAAACTGTGTAACATCCTGGCCTCGATATAGGATTCAAATTAATATCTAGCTTTTCTTTATCCATAGTTCTTGTTCCTCTAAATCCTCTGAATATCACCAACCCTTTTTAAAATATAACCGGATGAGAGTTTTCAAATTCCCCGTATTGCTCCTAGAAGCTATTTAACAAAATACAATTTCTCAATAGTGTGAAAGTGTTAGCAACTAGTCTTAAAAATCTTAGTTGTAAAGTTAAATGAGTATTAGCCTTTCTTATTTTTTATTTTGACAATTTACTTCTGCTAGACACAGAACCCTTACAAATGTCGATACCACAACCCCATATGCATGACCATAAGAGTAAGTAAAAAGGAAATTCTCATCTTTTTGGCTTCTAATGCACAGTTTAGCCTAATTTTATCATTTCTTCATCAATAAATAAATAAAAAAGGAACTACCCATACTTTTCTAACGCTACATTAAATATTCTATTGATTAGCATAAAGAATTCTGCTTAGTCACCTTAACCGTTTTTCCTATAAACAAAATATTCTTCCAATATTTAACTAATAACTAATAAGGCTTCTCGATTTGCAAATCAATAACCGAAACATTTAATTATTCACTGACTCGACCAAATGGCAATATGCAGTTACTTTATTGTACATAACTAAGTTCGGTAATCTCATGATTTGATTTAGCTTATTGCCATTATGATTTCTGGGTGTCGATCTAGATTTTATCTCTAAAACCTAGAATGCCTTCTTTTCGAAGTAGTGGGTTACATTGATACCACATGAAAAATGAGCTAAGAATTCTCCTTTTCTATTCTTTGCTCATCCACTAGCAAAAGGAAATCATAAAATTGCTTCACCGAATCCTTAGCCTAAGACTGATTGTGTGCTTTGCAATGCCAGTGAAACTCACTTGGCCTTAACCCCAAAGCTATCAAGATTCAGGCTGAAATGCAGTTCTGCCTTCATTAATGATTTCAATTTCGTGACTTCTATGAGTGTGCAAAGTTGATTATGAAATAAAGGCACGCTAACTAAAGTTAATTGCAGCTTTACACTGGCTTCACATACACCCATTGCTCCAACTTTAAACTCCTGCTCAGTTTATCTGTTTAAAAGAGTGTTATAATAATGACAAAGATTCTCAGATTATGGAAATATTGGAGTTTTTTATAGCTGGTCGAATTGCCTTAATCAAATGGATATAAAAATAAATAACAAAAACTAGTAGCCGTGGCTTGGAAGGACAGTTGTGTTAGCTTATCATTTTGAAGTTAGCGATTTTCTGTTTTCCACTCATCGTAATACCGACGATGCCAGCTACAACCAGGTCTAATGCTTTGAACTATTTATTAACTAAAAGTGTCTAATAACGGAAATTAGGGCAAATTCAGTAAAACTTTTACTTCCCACCTTCCATCTGAAAATCAAAGCATACTTTACTGGTTTAAATAATATACCTTTTCTTCCGGCAGCTACTCTCATTGCGTCCCTTCCTTGCGGAATCAAGGTCATTGGATTAGATTTAATCTGGCTTGTAAATGTGCCAACAGAGCTTAATGCTTTGATGATGACGTGTCTTGGGAACACGATGCAAGAAGTGATGCCTAGAAGCCCTTATCGCTGGGATTCCTGCTATGCGTTGCGCAGTTCCTACTTCTTTTGCCTCAGTTGAAGGCCAAATGATGACAGTGGTGATAAAGAATATTACTTTTGCTATCAGCAATTGCTATCATAAATTGTCATGGCGTTAAGATATTGCGTTGATTATTTTCCTTGTTTAAAAACACCTCTATAAATATGTTTATTTGTCGAGAGTAATTGGTAATACCAAATGTTCATGTTTTAGACTCATCGCTCAGTTGATGAGAACTCATTTAGCCAGCTTTTAACCTTCCACAGCTTGTTTGTATTTTCAAGGAGACCTGGAGGAACTAAAGATGCCTTTGGTCCATGATGTCCATCATAATTTCCAGAGTCGGACCATGTAATTTATGCTACCCAGACGTTCGGCCGGTATCGTAGTCGGCAACTTCATTGAGCTTTGCCACGCTACAACTCGACAGATACAAGTAGTATAGATCCTTATCTGCTAAAAGGTTGTGGTATCCTCTTCTCATATCC